TTCTGTGTAACCAGTGCATGTCAGTTGCTAAGTTACACAAGGTTTTCTTCTAAAGTTATAATTAATTAAGATATCAAAACAACAACAACTGTGACATAAGAGATCGCCCCTATAGTGCTACTTTTAGGGAAAAAAACCCCAAACCCCCATCCCCAGGGCTGCAATAGCTCAGGCTCCCAAGAAGGCCCAGGGGCTGGGCTGGGGCTTTTGGCTGCCCTGGAACACAGGCAGGAACACGATGTCACCACCCCACGGGCACAGCTGAGAACCCAAAGAGCAGCCACACCAGCAGCTCCTGCCAGCCCTGCTGGGCTGGGCCTTGGGGAGGAAGGGCACTGGCCTTTCTTCCTGCCTAGGAGCAAAGAGCCTCCTTGCTGAGCACTCCTCCTGCCAAGGCCATCAGCTCAGATGGGAAGTTCATCAAGTGCAACTTCCTGGAATGAGAAACATTCCTGTTCCCTGGACAATCTCTTTCCAATTCAACTCAAGAGCAAACACTAGAAGTTCAGGTGTTACCTAAAATTTCTTACAAGAACCTCTGAGACTCAACTGGTGAGTTTTAGAAGCCAGGTAATCTTGTATTCCTATGCTCTTGAATCATTCCAGCCCACCAGGTGTCCTGGCAATCAGCTCCCAAAGGGCACACAGACCCATCTCCACTGCAGCTGATATGGCAGCATTACAGGAGGATTCATTTTCCTTCCCTGCATTCCTGTTCCACATTCAGGACATTTTCCAACACTTATCACCATACACACCTACCCTTACAAGGTTTCCAAGGGGTTTCACCGAGGGCCTTCCCAGCTCTGCTCTGTCTGGAGCCCTCAAAGTCCTCAGTGCCTGCCTTAGGAACCTCAACACAACTCACCTGCTTACACAGCAACTTGGTGCTGCTTGCCTACTGCCTCACTTCCCTTCTTCCTTCTTTCTTCACCTCCCTTGCTTGGTCCCTTTCAATCCCTTGGTCAGCTCTGTGCACTTTCCAGGTTACATCCCACTGCAAAAAGGATTAGCTCTTGTTACATCTCAACACTCAGACAGCATTCCCCCTTTTTTCTTAACACGCAGCCACTAGGCCAGTGTCTCATGATTTAAAGCAGAGTTTGACTCCTCAGTGACAACAACAGCTACAGCCCTGAATCCTAACACAGGCTGAGACACAAACACGGATGGGAACTCTGAAGGATCCACTTTGTTCTGCTCACCAATCAAAAGGAGCTTTCTGAACTCAAGAAGAAGAGACCCAACATCCTTTTTCTGCAACTTCAGCTGCTATAAATGTGACCCCCAAGACCTGCAAAGGCCCTTCCCACTTCACCTGCAGGGCTGGCAGTGCCACCACTGGACACGGACCCAGGGGCTGGGCAGGAACGGAGGGGCTGGGGCGTCCAATCCATCGGCCCAGGCGGCACCAGGAGTTCCTGGAGTTCCTGAGGGGAGAGCCTCAAGACAAGAAAGGATTAGGAAAAGGATCATTTTTAACTTTAATATGTATATCCCCTGCAATATGGGGAGTTGGACAAGGCCTACTGGTGCAACAAGGACACACTCAAGGCTATCTATTCAAAGGATCTACCAGCACTCAAAAGCTGTCACTGTCCTTGCAGGGGGAACGCAGGAAACTCTCTTTGCCAAGAGCCTCCAGGAGGATTTCCATCTTTTGTGGCTCTTTTTTAACTATTTTTCCCATCACTGTAGCTGGGACTATCACCTGCCCTACAGGGAGAACAGCCCACAAAGTTCACTTGCAGGGATGCCATTAACTCAAAGTCCCTTGTCGGGGGGGTCACTGCACACCTTGTCCTCTGTTTGCCCTCCCACCAAAGATGATTCCAACACTTCTGACACATCTGGCAGACCCAGAGCTCTCCTCAGGGAATGCTTCAGCTGCTTAAAGGCTGCCCTTGCACCATCTAGACAAGGCAGCACATTCTTACAGGCTGTTGGAAAAGTTGGCAGAACAGTCTTACCACACATCCAGAGGGAGCAATCCAGAGTCCAGCCCGTCCTACCATTCCCAGCAAGGCAGTTCATGGGCTGTCTGGGGCTCAGGGAGGAGTCAGGGGGCTGCTTTTCTTCCTTCCTGCTTTCCAGATTTTCTCCTTCCAAAGCAAAGGTTTCTTGGCTTTCCTTGCTCAAGCAGATGCAGCAAAGGCCATCTTTTCAATCCAATACTGGAAACTCCTCGAGGTTGTCATTCAAGGTGCTTCTCTCAGGTCCTGCACTCATCAATCATCTTGGCCATTGGTTTTCTTGGCAGGTTCTTGCATTTATGTCCTACAAGCAAACCAGGAGGAGCCAATTTAGCTGTTACTGCAACCAATCCAAGCTGGCATTCTGATTTTAAAGGATACTGGGTTGGCCTTACCAGGAGAGATCCCACATTAGGGGTAATACCTACAGGTTCTGCCCTCTTCCACTCTCCTGCAATTCCACTGGCCCACACCACAGGAACAACTGCAGCTGCCACTTCAGTCAGGACCTTGCTGCTGACAGGAGTTATTCCCTGCACAACAAGAGCTGCTGCTTTGACATATTTGGTTTCAGCAATTACAGTTTCAGTATCCCCACTTTTCAATTTCATTTCTGCTTCAACTTTTCCAGTCCATCTTTTCCTAGCACAGGTTTGGGTGAGTCGGGCAAAGAGACAAACTCCGGAATTCCCCAATATTTTCCCAGTTTCACCCCTGTCACACTAAATAGCTTAACAGTGCCAGTCTTTAGTTCTCCTTAATTCTGCTCTCGTGCTAAGGACTGAGGAAGTTGGACCTGTGTCTGACCAGGACATGTGCAAACCAAATGGTGGGGACTGGAACACACACCTGGCACTCCTGGAGCTGTTATCATTACATTCCAGAGAAAACAGCCAATTGCACCATCACTGCTCATTTCTTAATTCCAATCCCACACTGCTTTTGCACTTGGAGCACCACTTTTATAATCCAATTACAGTCCATTAGAGAGCTCCATGTCTAGCAGGGACAGGTACCCCTGGGATACTCTCAAGAATGCCTGAATCCATTGCAGGGACCTTGCTTTGAGCTCCCCAGGGCCGGGCACCCCGAGGATCTCCCCGAACAATCCTTTCGGTGCGCGCTGGAGTCCTCGGGGTGCCCCAACCCGGGGGGCACCAACAGCACTGTCCCTCCAGGGGGGCCTAATTAGGTTCCTAAATGCAGGGGGATCTTGCCTGTGTCCCAGACTGGTCCGGGGATCTGAGGCCCTTCCCGAGAAAATCTCGGTGCCGGCGTGAAGGGACAGAGATCCCTTGGAGCCACGGGAGAGCAGGCACAGAGTCCCTTCTGCAGGGCCAATTCTGCTGCCTGAAAACAGCTCTTCAAAGAAGCCTCTAAGACTCAGTTGGTGAGTTTTAGAAGCCAGGCATTCCTGCACACTAAGATGTTTTAAGAGCTTACTGAGTGAAAAAACACAAAGCTTTTTCAGGGACATCTGACCTCCCACAGACAGCTCCTTTCCCCTTTCAGTACGAAATTTTTTTCAGGGAATCATTTATTAGGAAGTGCCCAAGAACCCAAGAATGTGCTTTGGGAACAGAAAATATACAGAGGGAAGGAACTTTGCACAAATGTAACATACTCCAGAACAGACCTGACTTTAGTTTTACTCTTTGTGTTCAAATATTCCATAGAAAAGCTCCAGCAGGAGAGCTGGCACATTACCCAAGAGGATCCTGAAAGTCCTTCTCACGAGGGCTGTAGGAAAATCGCAGCTGTACGAGTCCCTTGTGCCTGCAGATGCCTGGGGATCCTCTCCATCCACCTCATGCTCTCCCAACAGCAGATAGGGTGCTGAGACAGGAGGTAGGAGACTTTTAGTATAAAGCTTGGGAGGAATCTAAAGCTTCCTTTCCTGGGGAGCTTTGTGAAGTCTGCAAATGAGAAATGGAAAATTTGCATCTCCTTTGGTACAGGTGTCAACAGCAGCTGAGACTTTTGCATTTTTCAGATAACCATGCCCCTTTTGGCTCCCTGGCAGCTGCAATGGCACCAGAACCCCCTTCCTGCACACCCACGGCTGTCACACACAGCCACCCACACACCTTTGCTCCAGCCCACACGGGGCCAACATTTCCTCACCCTACACATCCCAAGGGCAGTAGTTTTGCTAGAGAGCACAGTAACCCCCCTGTCCTTGCAGACTGCCTCCATGCAAAAAAGGAACCATTTCTCCTGGACACTTCTCCCACACTCAAGGTCTTTTCAAACTGCTGTCGTGCCACCAAACCTGCTCAGGGTCCCTCCCAGCTTCTGCCTGTCCTTGCATTTAAAGGCATGGGCACATTCTATCTGCCAACAGCAAACCCAGCTCCTCCCTGGCAGTATAAGCCCTGCTCTTACCTGGACAGACTCCCGGGCTCGGCACAGCTGTGGCTCATGGAGCAGCTTCCCAAGGCCCTTCTCTCTCCCAGCAGGAAGCACAACTCGCCTCCACTCCCCAGCACCAGGGGAAACCACGAGCCAGGCTGCAAACTGACACAGAATGAGCAAAAAGCATTAATGCAGCACCAAGAAACCAAGTTAAAGCAGTCTTTGCCTCATAACCCTGCACGGGGAAAGGCTTTGGGATTCCGAGGCAATCCCTGATCCACCCAGAGAGCACCAGCCCCGCAGTCCTGCCACGGCTCCCCCCCGGGGTCACCCGGCAGGGAAGGGGTTTACCCGCCCCCGCTGCCCAGCACAACGCGCCCCTAAACGCCCCCCGGCTCCCCCGGTCCATAACCCATCGGCCAAGGCGCTCTCCCCTCCGCAGCCCGGGCAGCAGCGGGGCCGCACCCGCAGCCCTCACACACAACCGACCCCACCCCCCCAGCCGGCCCTTTATACCGCGGGCCGGCAGCGCTGCCCAATCAGCGCTCGAGCGCCTCCGCCCAATCCCAGCCCGCCTGGCCCTGCGGCCCCGCCCCGCCCGCTCACCCGGCCCCGCCCCTCGGCGCGGCCCCGCCCCCCTGTTCTCCTCAAGCGCTGCTGGGACCACGGAAGGGCGGTGGGAGCTCCTCGGTCATGGCCCGTCCGGGAGCTCTCCCGGGACAAGGGGAGCGAGGCTGGGAGTGGGGACAGCGGCGTTCTTGGGGGCGGGCAGGGCGGTGCCGGGGGCGGTGCCCGTGCCTTCCGGGGGGGCGGGCCTGGGCGGGCCGAGGGGCGGGGCCGGCGCGATCCCGCGGCGCTTCGCTCTGGGCTTTGGGGCTGTTTCGGGCTGTTTTTGGGTGCAGATTTTGGGAGACTGCGCACCCCCTCCCCTGGACACAGCCCCGCCCCAGCTCGCTGCACTCCCCGCACCCCTTGCTCAGCTCCGCGGGGATTTGTGCCTCCTCTGAAGGTGGCAAATGTCTGCAAAGCCAGTCGGGAAGCCAGAGAGCTGCATCCCCTGGGCCCCGCCGCGGCTTCCCCGCCGTCACCCGGCCCCTCTCGCCCGTCCCGCCCCGCAGCGCCGCTCCCGCTGCCGCCCTCAAACACAAAGAACAAACCCCCGTGCCCCCAGCACAGGCCGGTCCCTCCCCGGCAGCCTCGGCAGCGCCAGAAGGGCCGGGAGCGGCCGCAGCCCCCAACGCCGGCCCTTCAAGCCTGGCCCGGCCAACGCCTCGCTCCCCACGGGCGCCGCTTCCCAGCCCGCCCCGACCGCCGGGCCCTGCCTCGCAGTCGCCGCCTGGCGGACACGGCCGGGAGCGGCACTACAGCCCCCCCCCCGCTACTCACCCCCAAGGGCCTCAAGGACTCCCGGAGCGCAGACTGGCAAAAATACACGCCCTGCAAGACCCACGTCGCCTTTCGCAAGTACCGGCCTTTCTTCCCTAAAACCCGCTCTTACCTAGGAAGAGCTGAGCAATTCACAGAGTTGCCGTTTCTAGCTCAGCTTCCCAAAGGATTTCTCTCTCCCGGCGGCGGCAGCAGCAGCAGCAGCAGCAGCAGCAGCAGCGGCAGCAACGCTCCCTGGGAAGCCCTGACCGAGGCTGGGAATCGACACACAACAAGCCAAGAGCATTAACTCGGCCCCAAAACACTCCACAAGAAACCAATTTAGAGTCACCTTTGTCTCATCCTCCCGTGCAGGCCCAGGCTTTGGGATTCCAAGGCAAAGCCCGAGAGGCCCAGAGAGCAGCAGCCCCTCAGCCCCAGCACGGCCTCCCCCGGGCTCCCCCGGCCGGGAACCGGCCTAGCCAGCCCCTGCTGTGCAGCACAGCAGGCGGGGGGATGACTTTTGGGACCCCTCCCTGGCCACTGCAGAGCAATGCAGGCATCGGGGCCAAGTCCTGCCCGGCCCCCGGGCACTGCAGACAGTTCAGGCCCAGCAGCAGCAGCAGCAGCAGCTGTTCTGCCTCTTGCTCCCCTCTCAATTGGAACCGAACGGTGAGGAACAAGCCCCGGGCACAATCGGCACCGAGCAGCAAGGCCTGGGCTCGCCAGAGGCCTGGGCCTGCCTAGTCCAGGCTCTGGGCTTCCTTTGCTTTCTTCCTCTGCAATTCTCCTGCCCTGGGAAGTGTTAAAAGACAGACTGCTCAGTGAGACATGCCCTGACACAGCAATAAATTCCAAGACCAGAAAATCTCAGAGTCACACTTAGAAACCCTTCAGCGAGGCCCCCGGAGAAGCCAAGGGGAGCTGTGATTCCCTGGAGTCCCAGGGAACTGAGGGGAAGGTGGGAAAGGGGTAGAGAGCAAACACCTCCAGCTGCTTCTCCCTGCAGCCCCCATGGCAAGTGCAGATGCCCTGGAATTTCATGTCCTCTGTGTCTCTTGCACTGGGGAAAAGGACTGGGATGCACTGGGAGGGACGGGTGGCAGTGGGGAGGGACGGGGATGGGACTGGGGACGGGACACTGGAAAGGGACTGGGGCACTTGGGGGATTTGGGCTGGGAGTGTGGACACTGGGGTGGGACTGAGATTTTCTGGGGAGGGACTGCGAGCACTGGGATGGGACTGGGGTCATTGGGGAGGGATTGGGGACAGTGGGACTGGGGGCACTGGGATAGGACTGAGATGCGCTGGGGAGGGACTGGTCTGGGACTGAGGGCACTGGAGAGGGCCTGAGGTCACTTGGGAGAACTGGGCTGGGACTGGGATTCTCTGGGGAGGGACTGGAGGCACTGAGATGGGACTGAGAGGCACTGGGGAGGCACTAGGATGCACTGGGGCACCACTGGGATGGGATTGAGGTCAGTGGGGAGGGAACTGGGATAGGACTGAGCCAGTAGGGAAGGACAGGGGTGCACTGTAGAGGGACTGGAATACAGCAGGGAAGCACTGGGAGGGGACTGGGATCACTGGGGAGGGAATTGGGATGGGACTAGGGGCAGTGGGAAGCACTGGGATGGGACTGGGCAAACTGGGGAAGGACCGGGTTGCACTGCGGGAGTACACTTGGGAGGGAATGGGGGTGCTGGCTTGCACGGGGGGAAGTGGGAAGAGAGTACGCGCACTGGGGTGGGATGAGAGTACGCGCACTGGGGTGGGACTGGGAGAATTGGTGGCACTGGGATAGGACTGGGGGAACTGGGAAGGGAGCTGGGAGAGACTGCGAGGTGACTGGGATGGAAATGGGATGCACAGGGAAAAGGATCAGAAAGCATTGGGGGGGAGACTGGGGGCAATGGAGAGGGACTGGGATGGGACTGGTGGCACTTCAAGGGACTTGGATGCACTGGGGCTGACTAGGGGCACTGGGATGAGACATGGGGCACTGGGGAGGGACTGGGGGTAGTGGGGAAGAACTGGGATGGGACTGAGGGCAATGGAGAGGGATTGGGGAACTGGACTGGGAGTGGGGGCACTGGACTGCTATCTACTGGTATGGGATTCTCAGGGGAGGGACTGGGGGAACTGGGATGGGATAGGGGCCATAGGGGAGGGATTGGGGACAGTGGGACTACAGGCACTGGGATGGGACTGAGGGCACTGGAGAGGGACTGGGGAGAACTGGGCTGGCACTGGGGGCGCTGGACTGTGACTGGGATTCTCAGGGGAGAGACTGGGGGAACTGGGATGGGACAGGGGTCATTAGGGAGGTATTGGGGACAGTGGGACTATGGGCACTGGGATGGGACTGAGATGTGCTGGGTGGGCACAGGGATGAGACTGAGGTCACTGGGGAGGGAACTGGGAGCACTGGGAAAGCGACTGCAGGGACTGGGATAGGACTGGGGAGGGACTGCAAGGGGACTGTGACATGACTGGGGAGGGGACTGAGGAGTGTGCCTGGGATGGGCCTGCAAATCTCTGGGGAGGGACTGGGACCACTGGGATGGGACTGCTGTCACTGGAATGGGACGCAGATGTACTGGGAAGGGACTGGGATTTGACTGTAAGCACTGGGGAGGGACTAGGAACCATTTAGGAGGGACTGGGATGGGACTGGGGGCACTGATGATGGCACTCGAATGCACTCGGGAGGGACTAGGAGCACTGGGATGCAGTGGGCAAAGACTGGAGGCACTTGGATGGGACTGAGAGAACTACTATGGCACTAAGGGAACTGGAGAGGTACTGGGGGCACTGGGCTGGGACTGGGCTGCACTGGGGGCACTTGGGAACGAGCGGGATCACTGGGGAGGGAACTGGGACGGGATTGAGGGTACTGGGGTGGGACCGGGAGCACTGAGGGCACTGGGGAAGGACTGGGATGCGACTGGGGGAACTTGGAATGACACTGGGGAGGGACTGGGATTGGACTGGGAGCACTGGGGAGGGACTGCAATGGGTTTGAGGCAATTCCAAACACACAGGGGATTTCAGCCACGGTGCCACAGGCCCTATCTCCGCCACACACTAAATAATGCCCAAGTGTTACAGTCCCCAGCCCAGAACCCATCCCTAGCCCAGCCCCTCAGTGATTTTAGCTCCAGACCCACAAGCTTTATTGCACTGCCAGCTCTGCTCTCTCAGCAGCAGCTCTGCATCTTGCCAGCGCCGTCATGGGAAACTGTTTCAGCTTCTCACTGCAGGATCTTCTTGGCTCCAGCTCTGGGACTTTCCAGCTCCAACCTCAAACTCCCAAGCCCAGTCCCACAGTTACTCTTCCAGCCCCACAAACCCTATCCCAATTCCAAAGTCACAAGCCCAGCACTAGACTGATTTCAGGTCTTCCCGCCCAGTCCATGATCCCGCCCATCAACCCCTATTCCACAGCCACACAGAGGTTTAAGCGACGGTGCCAGTCCCTGTCTCAATCCTACAGTTATTTCTGCTCCAGTGCCACGATCCCTATCCCTGCTCCACAGTCCCTTTCCAAGCTCCACTCTCCCTATCCCATACCCAGACCCACAAGCTTTATTTCTCTGCCAGCTCTGCTGTCAGCTCCTGGTAAAGCTGCTGCACGTTCCAATCCTAGCATCCTTCTTTTGTTAAACGTCTGAGTTTTCCACCCCAACTCTCAAGCCCACATTCCAGGCCACTCCTGACCATTTTTATCCCAGCTCCATCCCTACAGCACTTACGCTAGGTCTATGCTCCCTAACCCAGCCCCACTCTGGTTTTGCCCACCGCCCTACCGTCTTTATGTCTCCACCAGCTCTGCTGCCTGAGCTCCAGGTCCTCAGCTTTCTGCTGCCTCTGCCTCAGCTTTCTGCTGCCTCTGCCTAAAGCTGCTCCTGGGTATCTCTGCAGCCCGGGGCTGTTGACAAGGCCCCAAATCAGTCTTGGTCATTCACTTAAATATCTCTAGGAGCTGTCCCACCCATCCCAACGGGAACAGTACTACAGCAACAAAACAATAGAATAAACAATCAAGTAGTCAGAAGGTGAAAATAAGAGTAAAATAAAATTATAATAGAATGAAACATTTTTTATCACTTTTCTTTGTAACAATACTTTCAATACCAGCTCGCCTGAGAGGCTGCATCCTAGCCCTTCTGGTTCGGGGGAGCACCCCTGAGCACGGGCTGCTCCCCCACTGGGCACTGACCAAACCCAGCCGGCACAGCTGCCCGGGACACCGCCTGCCCAACGCCCTGCCTCGGCAGCTGCGGGGCACCGACCCCGGCTCCCCCTGGATCGGTAGCCGAAGGAGTGCTGCCCCATGGCTCCCCACAGCTCCCCGGAGCGGCAGCCGCGACCTGGTCCCACCCTGGCTCACCGCCGCTCCTCGGCCCAGCTGCCGCGCCGGTCGCGTGCCGACTCCCGCAGCTCCAGCGCCGCCCCCAGCCCCGCCGCCGAACTGCCCCGCAAGCCCCACTCCCGGGGCCGCTCCCGCCCGCTCCCCGCCTCCCTACCCTTCTACTGGGAGAGCTCCCGGACGGGCCGTGACCGCGGAGCTCCCACTCGCCCTTCCCCGGCCCCAGCAGCGCCTGAGAGGAACAGGGAGGCGGGGCCGCGCCAGGGGGCGGGGCCGCGCCGAGGGGCGGGGCCGGGCTGAGCGGGCGGGGCGGGACCGCAGGGCCAGGCGGGCTGGGATTGGGCGGAGGCACTCGAGCGCTGATTGGGCAGCGCTGCCGGCCCGCGGTATAAAGGGCCGGCGGGGCAGATGCGGGCGGTTGTGTGTGAGGGCTGAGGGTGCGGCCCCGCTGCTGCCCGGGCTGCGGAGGGGAGAGCGCCTTGGCCGATGGGTTATCGACCGGGGGAGCCGGGGGGCGTTTAGGGGCGCCTTGTGCTGGGCGGCGGGGGCCGGGTAAGCCCCTTACCTGCCGGGTGCCCCTGGGGGGAGCCGTGGCAGGACTGCGGGGCTGGTGCTCTCTGGGTGGATCAGGGATTGCCTCGGAATCCCAAAGCCTTTCCCTGTGCAGGGTTACGAGGCAAAGACTGCTTTAACTTGGTTTTTTGGTGCTGCGTTAATGCTTTTTGCTCGTTCTGTGTCAGTTTGCAGCCTGGCTCGTGGTTTCCCCTGGTGCTGGGGAGTGGAGGCGAGTTGTGCTTCCTGCTGGGAGAGAGAAGGGCCTTGGGAAGCTGCTCCATGACCCACAGCTGTGCCGAACCTGGGAGTCTGTCCAGGTAAGAGCAGGGCTTATACTGCCAGTGAGGAGCTGGGTTTGCTGTTGGCGGATAGAATATGCCCGTGCCTTGAAATGCAAGGACAGGCAGAAGCTGGGATGGACCCTGAGCAGGTTTGGTGGCACGACAGCAGTTTGAAAAGACCTTGAGTGTGGGAGAAGTGTCCAGGAGAAGTGATTGCTGTTTTGCATGGAGGCAGTCTGCAAGGACAGGGGGGTTGCTGTGCTCTCTAGCAAAAATACTGCCCTTGGGATGTGTAGGGTGAGGAAATGTTGGCCCCGTGTGGGCTGGAGCAAAGGTGTGTGGGTGGCTGTGTGTGACAGCCGTGGGTGTGCAGGAAGGGGGTTCTGGTGCCATTGGAGCTGCCAGGGAGCCAGAAAGGGCACAGCTGTCTGAAAAAGGTGAAACCTCTGTTGGCTTCTGTTGACACCTGCACCAAAGGAGATGCAAATTTTCCCCCTCTTGGTTGCAGACTTGACAAAGCTCCCAGGACAGGAAGTTTTAGATTCCCACTCCCCTTTATGCTAATGGTTTCCTTGCTCTCTCAGCAGGATGTCGAGTACCACCATGTCCCTGAGGTCCCCCTTTCTGCTGTTGGGAGAGCACGAGGTGGATGGAGAGGAT